GCTTGCCAGGCAAGCGTTTATTCTACTGAGCCATCTCCCCAGTGTTCTCAGTCTCAACACACACAAGTCCAAAGACTGGGCTCTCTGAAGTCCTTCTGATTGCCAGGCTGTGTCATTAACTTTACTCCCCAGCCTCTTAAGATAGCCCGTTCCAAGCAATGCCCAGTGCTTTGAATTCTTAGTCTTAGGAAATCTGTACTACACTGATAAAGCTCCCGGGTCAGTACATATGCAGGCTAAAATTCTTAGATTCCAGAGATAATTGAGCATGTGTGCTAAACTTCCTAAATTAAGCAATTCTCTTCCTAAGAGTGGGAAAGGATGAAAATAACAGCGTACAGGCCCTTTCCTAGGCAGATGTGAGTCCAGGAAGTCTTCAAATGTGCTTGCTCCTGAGGCACCCAAGGAGGCTTCTTAGAAGGCAGGAAAGGGGAAAGTGGTTGTTATCAAATTCATGTGTGCTTTGGTATTAGGGCTGACATTGTCATTCGGGCCACTTTTATGTGACCGGAGGCTTTATCATGGTAATCCCTGGTTACTGAAGCTATACATGTTGATCCTCTACTGAAGCCATTCTGTTAATCTTCGTTCCAGGGTCCCAGGCCTGTCACAGTGACTCTGTCATTTGCTGATGAGTTTGACCCAGGTCCTCCCAGGGAAGGGACAGGAAAGAATCCCTATGGGAGCAGGCTGGCTCTCCAGCCTGTGTGTTGGCTCTGGTGGGGGAGGGAGCCAGGAGAGATGTTTCCCACCCACAGAACATGGTATACTGTATGGCAGTGCCGGGCCCGCTCCCTAAATACCTGTGCACTTGGCAAAACATATATGGGAGGGAATCGGTGGCATTTATGACTTGCTGTTGCCCATCTAGGGAAAATCAGAGTTCAGTGTTTTGGGATAATTTTGTTTTCAAAATCTCAAGCAACATGGAGGTTTGAAGTAATTAAGCAATTTGTGGCAAGAAGTTGGACAACGCACGTAAGACCAGCTATGACTGGTCCTCCTAGTTGCCAGGCGATCCTTGTGAGTATGCCAACTCTTGCGAGATGTTCACCTATGTATAAAACATCTACATGCACTAGGATTGTGTTCATGAAACTTGAACTCCTGCTGTTGATCAAAAAAATTGTGGCATACTATGTGTTAAGAGACTCAAATAAACAAAAACAGTCTTTTGTGTGGTCTGGGCCAGTTCCTGAATTCCTGTGCTTTTCAGTGGACAACTGATTTGCTTTGTTTGTAAGAGTGGGTTCTGATCCACTTTATAGGCCACAGGTTCAAGGGCGCCCCTTCTCTGCAGCAAAGCCACACTGCTCAGCTCAGAGAGGACAAGCCACATGAATTTCCGTCTACCATCTTGTAATCTAAAACCCTGTGTGGATGGCTGGCTGGATCTTCCAGTTTTTCTCTGGCTCTGTGCTCATCATGGGGATTATGAATTAAAATACAGGGAATGTGCTCATAGCCTCCTTATTCTGAAAGGTCATGCAAGCTTTCCTGTCCAATTAGTCCGTCTGATGTGAGGCTACAGATTTAATTTCTCATCATCTGTTTACTGATTTTCCATTCTGGACACGTTTTTTTTTTTTTTTTTTAATCACCCACCAGGATTGTTGGTTAAACATGCTACGGACTAACAGGACACGTGGCAGCGCGTCTCATGGACTTACACAGCGTCGCACCCAAGGTAGAAATGAGCATGAGCTCGTTTATTTGCTAAAATGGATTCTTCAGCCAGGAGCAGGCCTGGTGTTGGTAAAGGTCTCTGCCCCGCAGGATGGAGATGCACGGTCGTGCGCCACCTACTGGGCCAAGCAGAAACTACAGGCCTGTCTCGCCGGGTCCCGGGCTGCTTGCTGGCCCGGCCAGGTGCTGGTCTAGATGATGTCCGGCCATGCGTACATGGGCAGGTGGTAGCGGTTGTAGTGCAGGAAGTCAAGGATGCTTTTCTCCACCAGGGGTCGGTAGATGGTTTCCTGGAAGACTCTCCGGAGGTACTTCCGGGGCTCCTCCTTGAGGATGATTTCCTCCTCCACTATCTGGCGCGCCAGCTGTTCCAAGGAAGGCTGGCCTTCCTCCTGCAAAATAAGCGGGAGGCTCCAGTTACCTGCGCTCAGCGCCACAGTAGATAGGGGCCTGCTAAGATAAAGATGGTTCTCTGCTGCTCCAAATGTTTTTTTTTTTTTTTCCCCTACCATTTTAGATCTGGGGGCAGTTCTTAGGATCAGACCCAGTGCCTCCCACATGCTTGGCAAGCTCTCTACCACCGAGCTGCCTTCCCTGACCTATTTATTCATTTATTTATTTATTCATTTGTTTTTATGTATTCAGTACGGGGTCTCGCTACGCAGCTGAGACTCGTAGTGATCCTCCTGTCTCAGCCTCCCCAGCACTAGGATTACAGGCGTGCACCACCACACCCAGTTTTGGTGGCTGGCTTGGCACGTGGCACCATGGCCCTCCCCTGACCTTTTCATTTTGAGACAGGATCTCACAGTTACTCAAGCTGGATTCCAGTTTGTGGTCCTACTGCCTCAGCCTCCTGAGTAGCTGGGATTGCAGGCATGTGGCACTGTGTCCAACTCTAGAAATTAGTTTTAGTTGCAACCAAATTTTATCATTTTAAGATGTTTAAGTGTGCACGTCAGTGGCCTAAATAAGTACTTTCACACTGTTGTGCAGCCACTAGCACAATCCATGTGCAGGACGGTTCAGCTCCCCAAACTAGAAGTCTATGTCTGTTCAGTGATTGAGCTGTCCTGTGTTTCCCTCCCGCTCTGGACCACTTTTCCACTTCTGTGGGCCTCTGAGTCCCTACAGACCACAGATGAGTAAAGCCACACAATGCTTGCCTTTCTGTGCTTGGTCTCTGTCACTCAGCGCAGTGTCTTGGTTCACCAAGGATGGTCATTTTAAGCTTTTTCTCATATTTAAAAAAAAAATCTTGATCCCTGGCATGGGCTCCAGAGATAGCCCATCGGTCTAAGAGCCTGCCTGGCAAGTGCAAGGATCTGGGTTCGATCCCTAGTACCACATGCCGTGTGGGCTCTGAGTGGAGCTAGCCACGAAAAACGGGTGTGGCGGTGCATGCCTGCAATCCCAGTGCTGGGGAGGCTGAGATAGGAGGATCACTGTGTGTCTGAGCTGCATAGTGAGACCCTGTATCAAATAAATAAAATAGATTTTTAAACATATCTATAGATGATATTTGCTTTAAAAATAAGAAAGGGCTGGGCATGGTGGTGCACATCTGTCATCCCAACACTTGAGGGGCTGAGGCAGGAGGATCACCATGAGTTTGAGGCCAGCCTGGGCTACACAGTGAGTTCAAGGCTGGTCTAAACTACACAGCAAGACCCTGTCTCAAAACAAATAAAAATAAAAATAAGAAAGGATGTTGTTGGGGTGGTGCTCAGTATTCTGGTGGGCTGAGACAGGCCTTTGCAAGTTTGAGTTTAGCTTGGGCAATTTAGCAACCTAGAAAGACACTGTCTCAAAATAAAAAAATAAGAAAGGGCTGGAGTATGGTTCAGTACAAATGCTGTGGGTTTGGTCCCCAATACCAATAACAAAAAAAGGAAAAATGGAGTTAAACATTTGTGCGTGAGAACTGTTGCAGGGGTGGGGAGGGGTGTCCGTTACTTCATAACGTCAAATTTCTTTGAAATTATTAAAGTGAGGATTTAAGAGAATAAGGCTATTTGAAGTTGAGAATAGCAATTTCTCTAACTTTATATCAAAATGTTTCAGGGATGGCCAGATAGCTCAGTGGACTAAAGTGCCTGCTTAGGCAGACACAGGGACCGGGCTGTGAGGCCTGGCATGCCGTGCCGGCGCTGCCCCTGGGGTGTGCTGAGACGGCAACTGAGAGTGGGCGTGGTGATGCACACCTGTATCCCAGGGCTTGGGAGCTGAAAACAGGAGGATCACTATGAGTCTGATCTGTATAGTGAGACCCTGTAGACCCTGTACTAGATACATTAAAAAAAAAGTTTCAAAGACAGACACCAAGATTGTCCTGTGAATACCTGTGCACACCTGGGTCATGCAGGCAGCTCTCTACCAGATCTGCTCCAGGCTTTGTGGGGAAAGACGCCCCAGGCCGAGCTGCCAAAGTCAGACACTGCTTTCCACAGTCAACCCTGATGGTCTCTTCAACTTCTAAGAATTCTTTGTATTTCAAACACAAAGGGGAAAAAAAAGTGGACACTTGAGGCTGCTTCTGGATCCTGGCCTTGGGAACACGTCAGGGAGACCCTGAAGATGAGGAGGAGGACTTGGAGATGCTCAGCTGGCGCTGGCATCATGTGGGCACACAGGCGACACGAAGTGCTCACAATGCGGATGCCACCACCCAAGAGGAGGGAGGGAAGGAGGAGGGGAAGGAGCAAGGGAGGGAGGCGCTCCCCAGGCCCTTCTGCACTCGGCAGCCCCTTCAGGTCAGGATATTCACGGTCCTTGGAAGCTGCTGTTTAGCCCTAGAAGGTCCCCAGGTGGAGCTTTTCCATTCCTCTAGACAGGCGCTGCTCTGGACAGTGAGGACCTCTGTGTCCACTATTCCCAGGTGACAGCTGTGCTCCTGGAGGTGGGCGTCCCCTCCTGTACACACTGGGTCCATGGTCGGTATCCGGCCTCCTCTTAGTATAATGTTTCTTTTCTTAAAATAATCTCTTGACAGTTCCTTTCTTCATTTTGTTTATTTCTTTTTAGATTGATTGATTGATTGATGGATTGATTGATTGATTTGGCAGAACTGGGGATTGAACTCAGGCCCTTGCCCTTGCCAGGGAAGCGCTTATTCCATTGAGCCATCTCCCCAGCCCCTATTTTTTTTCATTGACAAATAAAAGTACCCATCTGTGGGAGCAGCGTGAGGTCAGGGCACACATCCACAGGAAGCAGCGTGAGGTTAGGGCACACGTCCACAGGGCAAAGTTCTTCTTACCATTATTTGTATTTTCGCAGTGCTGGGGCTGAACCCCGGGCCTTTGCGCAGTTTAACCCCTGAGTTAGGCAGTAAGTCCCTGACCACACGGACTGTGCTTCAATTTGCAATCTTCCTGCCCCAGCTCCCAGAGTTCTGGGGTGACAGATGTGCACCGCCACACCCGGGCTGTGCTGTCACGGCTGCGTTGGGCACCTAGCGCGCCTGTCACCCCACCTTCGGACCTTCTCCTTGCGGTGTGGATGTTTGAAGCCCCCCCACTCGGCAGCAGTGAGCAGCACTGCTCACAGAAGCGGTTGCCAAGTGTGGGCACCACCGCTTCTCCTCCCACAGAAGCTGCACCCCCTCAGCACGGCATCTGTCCTTCCCCATCCTGCACCGTGTCTCCCGTGAGCACCTTTCCACCCTCCTTGTTCACAGTTTGACTTTCCAAATTCTCAGCCAGGGGGCTTTGTGCATAGCCATGCCTCTCCCCCCGCAGCATGACCTTTAGAACCATCCGCCTTCTCATCACTGAAAGCAAACTCCCCATTTTTAGGGCCGAATAGTATTCCTCAGTGCAAACCACATTGTCTTTGGCCATTCTCCCAGATGGACACTTAGTTTATTTGCTTATCTTGGCCACTAAAAACACAGGAGTGCCTCTTCCACATGCCGATTTCAGTCTTTTGTGTATCTACCCAGGAGTGGGGTTGCTAGGGTGGTAGTTCTATTGCTTACTTCCTAGTTTCTGTTACCCCCTCCGTGGGCACCATGGCCCCTCTCCAATATCCCTGCTGCATGTTCTGTCTCTTCTTCTTGCTAACAATTGCACTAACAAGCATGAGGGGAGAGCTCACTGGGACATTAGCATCCTATTCCTGAGGAGTAGAGCTGTAGGACCTCTCTTGATTACACCCACTGTCCGCCTGTGTCTCCTTTTGTCCCTGGTCCTGGCTCTCAACCTGGGGTTCTCTACCATTGGGCTGCATCTCCAGCAGTTGTTTTCTTTCCCACAGGATTTTACTAAATTGCCCAAGATGGTCTCAAACTTGAGACCTTCTTGTCTCAGCCTCCCAAGCAGCCAGGGTTATGGGTGTGTGCCCCCACACCCAGCTTGTCTATCTGTTTTTAAATGTCTATCCGGGTCTTTGCCCCTTTTAAATCAAGAGATTTTGTTTTCTTGTTATTGAGTCGAGCTCCTCAGATACACTGGCTATTATGGTGATTTGCAGATATTTCCTCCAGCCTTCAGGCTGCCTGTTCCCTTTCTCTTCCTTGCAGATCCACTTCTTTTTCTGTTTCCTGTGCTTTTGGTTTCATCTCTAACAGGTTATTGCCAAGAGCAATATCAAGGAGTTTTTCCTCCATGTTTTCCTGCAGGGTTCCTGGAGTCTCAGGTTGGTTTGGGCAGGAAGACTAGATGGGACGAATGTGCACAGGGGTGTGTGGAGGGCCACCATATTCTTCCACTCATCCCTGGTGTTCCTGGCACCATTTAGTAAGGAGCCTGTCCCTCCCCATCATGTGGCCGCCTTGTTGAAAGTTGGCCACCTGTGCAAGGCACCATCCCTTGTCTCTGTCCTGACCTGACGTCACTCTGTGTGTGTCAGGGCCATGCCAGGCCGTTTGGGTCACTGCAGCTCTGTGTGCCTTCAGAAATCGGGTACAGTGGCACTTCTGTTCATGAATGTGAGTGTTTCCCTGGTTCTGCTTGCAAACCAAGTTGGATGAGAACTGAATCAAACTCAGCAGGTAGGTTCAATATTGACCTTGTCAGGAAATTGGATTTGGTTCTCATCCATTTCAGTCTGTGACCAGAATCATGGGCAAGACTCGAGTTCATAAACAGAGGCACCACTGAACTTCTGGTGCTTCCAGCTTTGTTTTCCTCACAGGGATCTTTCATGTTCCCACTACAAGCTTTAGAATTGCTTCTCTGTCTCTGTTATTGGAAAATGTCATTGGAATTTTGATAGTGATACACTGAATCTGTAGATTGCTTGGACACTTTTCAATATGAATTCTTTCAATTCATGAAGAGAGGATGTTTCTGTTGACTTGTGTCACCTGTAATTCCTTGAATCCTAATTTTTTCTGCAAAAGGCTTTCTTTTACTCCATCCACGGCTTGGGGAGGACTCCCCGCAGCTCCAAAGCTGTGCTTTTGATTTTAAAAGAACATGCTAAGTGGGCCCTGCATGGCCAGGTGGCTATGGTCCTCACAATGGCCTTGCTCCCTCATCTTGGAAGTCACAGGGCTGGACTTATATAGCAGAAGTGGGGTGCACAGTGTAGGGTTCGGACTGCTCCTCAGGGCTGGTGGCCTCCCTGACACGCAGAACGTGGCCGCAGTACAAGCTGCATTGTCTCTGGATGTTTGGATCCCTGTGCTCCTCCTAGCCAACCTGAGATAGCAGCCCAGCACCTGGAGGGGCAGCAGGCCCAGATGCACATTGGCCACCGCACTGATGGTGGCTGGCAGGGGACAACCCTGAAGGTCAGGGGCCCACCATGGTAGGGAATAAGGGGCCCACCACGCTGAACAATGTTGGCTGGCCCCATGGGCAGGGCATCAGGAGAAGCTGGGTCCCTGGCACCTGCTCTCCTCACATCGGTTTCAGTACTCGGATCTCTCACCTCCTTGGTAAGTGACACCTATGCATCCTTTATGTTACCCTACACAGGATCATTTTCTTTTTCTTTCTTTTTTCTTTTTCTTTTCTTTTTCTTTTTTTTTTTTTTTTGTATTAGGGAAGGATCTACAGGGTGTTCAGGGTCTCACTACTAGATCAGACTCATAGTGATCTACCTGTTTACAGCCTCCCAAGAGCTAGGACTACAGGCACACACCACCATACCTAGTCTCAATTGCTGTCTCAGTGCACCCTGGGGGCAGGGCCGGCATGGCAGGCCCTGGGGATCGAACCCCTGGCCCCGTGCCTGCTTGCAGGCGCTTTAATCTGCTGAGCTATTTGGCCGGCCCTTCACAGGGTTGTTTTCTTAATTACTTTTTTTCAGGGAGAGCACTGTTAGTGTATGGAAACACTCATGAGCCTTTTCATGTTGATGTGGTATTGTGCAGCTTTTCTGAATGTATCAGTAGTTTTGGTTTTTTTTCAAGGTGTGTGTGTGTGTGTGTGTGTGTGTGTATGCTTTTATGTGTCACTTTCAAAAAAGGTCCATCAATGGCTTATCCACAAACACAGCAAGGATTTTTTAGACTAGAAGATCAGCTAATGTATCTAAATGTGTCTAACCAAGCACAGCAAATGAAGTGTAAAATAGCCTGCAAAAAATCCTCCATCTCCTGTACTGCACCCGTGGGCCTCCAGGGACCTGTGTGCACCTCTCAGTTTGCACAATTTGGCAGCATCTGACTTTTGTGTGTGGCCACAGGGTCCCCATCTACCTGCTGGATGTCACCTGTGTGAACCATAATGTGCCTGTTTGCCTCAGATGGAAGCTCAGTGTCTGGCCAAAGAGCCCTGGTGCAGCAGGCACCGAGGCCTGCACTTGGGCCCACCCAGCCCAGCAGCCTGCTGCCCACAATGGATGGGTCAGGCCACAGTTTGCCGCTTGCTGCCCTTGGGTGGCTGTGTGGCCGTGTGGGTTGTGGGACATCTCTGAGCCTGGTTTCTTCATGGTGAGGTCAGGACAGGGACATTGAGACTGTCACCCACTGCAGGGTTGTGGTAGGGTCAGCGAGGGCTGGGCGCCACATCAGAACATGGGGACCCACTGCGGACAGGTCCTGTGTGTGCCATCACCGTGGGACCTCCATCCAGAGCCCAAGGCTGTGGGCACCCACAAGTAAAAGTGTCAGCAGTGATGCAGGAGTTCCCATGGAGACATCAGGAAAAGGTGGGAGGTCATCGGGCCAGGCCCTGTGTGTGAGGGGAGACAGGGATCAGGCCCAGCACCCCATGCCCTTGGAGCACAGGCCTTGGCCCTGCGCAGCCGGTCTGTGGCTCTGCTATTGGAGGAAAGGAAGCTCCGTGGGTACCTCATTGAAGTTACAGTTCTCACTGAGCTTCGAGCTTCTGGAAAGCAGCCTAACTTCCAGTGACTTCTGTATTGCTTTGAAAAGAAGTGTCAGTTACAAAGACGTGTGTTCTAAACCAGGTGTGGTGGTGCATGCCTGTAACTCCAGCCCTCTGGGAAGTGGAGGCAGGAGGGCCACAAATCTGAGCCTTGCATCGGCAATTTAGTGACTTAGTGAAAGCCTCTCTCTAAAAAATAGGAAAGATTTTGGGGATGTAGCTCGGTGTGAAGGCCCTGAGACTGACTCTTGGCATGAGGGGAAAAAAAAACAACAACAAAAAGAAGTGTTCTGCCACAGAGACAACTTTTCTTGATATGCACAAAACAGTAGGTGCTCAATGTGGGGCCACTGCAGGCAGACACCAAAGGAATGGCACTTTTGTGTCCTCTCAAGGATGGGCAATACAATGCACCCCCAGTTTATAGTCCATGCTGTTGGCTCATCCTGAAAATACTGCTCCTTGGGGTCAGCCAGACAGCTCAGTGGACTAAAGTGCCTGCTTAGGCAAGCACAGAGACGGGGGTTTGATCCCTGGCATGCTGTGCCGGCCCCACCCCCAGGGTGCGCTGAGACAGTGACTGAGTCTGGGTGTGGTGGCATGCACCTGGCACCTGTAATCCCAGGGCTTGGGAGGCTGAAAACTGGAGGATCACTACAAATCTGATTTGTGTAGTGAGATTCTGTAGACCTTGTACTAAATACATAACACACACACACACACACACACACACACACACACACTAAGAGAAAGAAAGGAAGGAAAGAAGGAAGGAAGGAAGGAAGGAAGGAAGGAAGGAAGGAAGGAAGGAGAAATAAAGAAAAAAGAAAGAAAGAAAGAAAGAAAGAAAGAGAAAGAAAGAAAGAAAGAAAGACAGAAAGAAAGAAAGAGAAAGAAAGAAAGAAAATACTGCTCTTTGCAAAGAGGACAAGGAAACCTGCTGTCCCCAAAAGAATTTTAAGTCAAATCACTTTCCCCGACAATGTGTTGACATGGCCACTCCACAGTCCATTTGCAGGAAGTACAGTTGGTTTAGAAAGCAAAGCCATAAAATGAGAAGGGAGGGCCAAGCCCAAATGACCAGCAGCCATCGACCGCCCCGATCTGCGCGCAGCAGCCCGCGGCTGTTAATCGCTCTTACCTGCTCACTGGCCAGGACCTGGCGCAGCTCCTTCCTGAGGTCGATAAAGCGATCGTGGAGCAGGGCCATGCACCAGGGCTCCGTGAAGTAGCTGGCGGGAGGAAGAGGTGCAGTTAGCTGGCAACCCTCTCATTACTGCTAATAAAGTATTTACCTGCTTTTGTGCCTTGATAAATTACAGTTCTGGGCCCTCTGCAATCGTTTGCTCATAAAATGCCTCATGGAACAGCCTGGTCAATCAATTTTTTAAATGGATGTTCCTGATGTAAGGCCAGGTTCCATAATTACATTTAAAGTGCTTTAATTCAGAGCCGGGGCAAGACCCAGTGAAGAACCCTGATTTTATCAGAATTTAAAAGCCTGAAGACTTGTAAAGAACGGTGTCTCCATTATCTGCCCTTGTTTGAGAAAAGCAGATTGCAGGATTAACTGAACTGCTGCATAAACAAATTAAATTTGGGTAGACAATAACACAAAGGTTGCTCATCATTAAGGTTTCTGGATGAATAATGGCCAGAAAAACAGGCCACCTCGGTGTCGCAACATGGTCCTTGCACAGTTGTGCCGGTGCTTAATTGCGTCTGTTTTAGGGGGGTTGCTCTTTGCTAAGTTTTCACTGAAAGCTGGGTAAGTGCTGTCTGATATAGATGATGGTGTGGCTGGCTGTTACGTGCAGGTGACTGCCACAGCCCTGGCGAGTTCTCGTGGTAATGACTCAGAACCTTTATGGACACTCTACGTCTCCTTTGCTTCAGCGCCCGACGTCTTGGAACAGGAAACCCCACGTCCAGGTCCAAGGCTCAGCACTGACCTGCATGGGAACTGCACTCCTACAGTAATGAGGGCCACAGGGGAAGGACCGTCAGGACTCCATTCTGGTGACTTCTCACTTTCTCCCAAGACTTAAAGCCAAGGATAGGGTGAAAGGACCCAAAGGTCACCAAGGCCTTAGAAAAGGCCACGAGGGTGTTTTGGGGCCAGCTGTCAGCTGTCACCAGCTGGCTGGTGTACTGTGTCCCCTCTGCACTTGATCAGAACAGGACTTTACTTCCTCATTAATGGCTGCCGGGGGTCCACCCTGCCAATTCTTACTCCATACCCTCTACAAACCCAGCAATCCCTGGGGACTGTGGCAACAGCAGGGACCAGAACAGAAAATACCCTGCCACCCTGTGGTTTGCAGTGACCCGGGGCACATGCAGTTTTCTTTGGCTTACACTTTTACACTCCCTACTGTCACCAGTGGCAAAACATCTGGGGATCCTTGTCTAGAAGATGACAAGTCTCTAAGCAAACTTTTGTTCCCAGTGTTCCTAGAATGCACTGGGAGCAGTATGATCCAATAATACTATGTGCTTAAGCTTTTAAGGAGGTATTACTGTAAAAGACACATAGCCATGAATTCACCTCAAAATCCTCCCCCTCACTTTGAACACACTAATCCCATCATTCTTGCCTCTTTCTGCAGCCATTCTGGAAATCCTTTTGTCAGTGATCATATCTTGAAAAGATAGGATCAAAGAAACAGTAACTACTGCTGCTGAGTGCTATCAAAAAGAAAAGCAGGATTGTAAAAACACTGCACCGTGTTCATCCACTGAGGGGCATGGTGCTGTGGACTCCTGGCTCCTCCCCAGGTCTAGACAGCAGCGACAGGGCAGCATTTTAGTCCCAGCAACAGCCTCAGCCAGGGTGAAACTGTCTCAGCCCTGGAAGCAGGACTCCCTTGGGGAGCTCTCCTGTCTCAGCCACAGTCCTGCTCAGGTGGCGTTGAGAACCGAGCAGAACTCAGGAAGGTGAGGACCCGTAGTTGGATCCCCTGTGGTTTCCAAGACACCGCTGGTCTTCGGTGCTCCAAGGCCCAGAGTGGGTGGTGGCCTCAGTGCTTCTGTAGCCTGGGGAGATGCTGCGACCTGCAGGACTGGTCTCAGACCCTGGGTGGTTTTTAGAGGCCAGGCAAGGAATGTTTTCTTGAAGTAAGAAAATATTTCTCCTCAATCACCTACCCAGCAGACAGGCCTGCTTACTCAGTTCTTCCTTGCCCCTCACAGAATCTGCCCACCATGGAGGTGGCTTCCCAGGTGCCACCTGAGTGCCCTAGACCAGCACTGGTGATAACCACTGATTCCTCTGCGTGGTTCTGTCACTCCCCATGTAGCCCTGATGGCGCAGCCTCCACCTACAACTCATTCCATGGCTCCTGAGATGCTGTTTGCTTCTGGCAAAATAACTTCTTAAGCTTTTTTTAAAGTCAATGGATTTTCATTCTAGAGCTATTTTTTTTTTTAAATATGTTTAGTATAGGGTCTCACTACACAGATGGGACTCATAGTGCTCTTCCTGTTTTCAGCCTCCCAAGTGCTGGGATTACAGGCACGCACCACCACGCCCAGTCTCAGTGGATGTCTCAGTGCCCCGGGGCCCTGACGGTCCCAATCCCTGTGTCTGCCTAAGCAGGCACTTTAATCTGCTGAGCTATCTGGCTGGCCCTTCTAGAGCCATTTTAAGGTTACAGAAAACTTGAGCAAGTGGGCTTCCCAGACAGCCTGCCACCTCCTTGAGGTTTCCAGATGCTGTGGTGCAATTTGCAACCCTGACCCAATATCAATGGACGCCATTCCTGTCCCCACAGTGCGTCTATGCAGCACTCTTCATGTTGTGTGTTCTGTGGGCTTTGAGCATGGTGTAGTGCCTGTCCCACATAGTGTGGGAACACAGTGTCACAGCATCACATAGAGATGTTCCATGTTCTAAGAAGCCCTCTGTGCCCAACCACTCACTCTCCCTTCCTCTTCTTCCAAAGTCACAGCAAATTCACCTTTCAGGGAATTAAATTCTATTAAAGAAAATGAGGGGTCTGTAGCAATTCGGTAAGATAGTTTGAAACCCTGCGCTTTCCAGGACTTAGCTCGGACACATTCTCCCATCCAAGTACTAACCAGGCCCGACCCTGCTTAGCTTCCGAGATCAGATGAGATTGGGTACGTCTAAGGTGGCATGGCCGTGGACTCGGGCACATTCTGCCAACACCAGAAACCCACCTTTCGAACTCATTTGTGGCCCCTACTGCAAATATACATGACTGAGGGAGGAGCCTGGGTCCCTCGACAGCTGGCACAGGCCCAGGCCTCAGGGCCTCCGCTCCCTGTGAGGGAGTCATGGGGCCGACCAGCTACTCCTCCGGGTCCAAGGCAAGGACACAAGGCCCCTGTGGTCGACCGAGAGCAGCTACAAGAAGCCCTCACTATTAAGTCTGGACAACTTTGAATGTATCCAAATTCATTCTGTAACTCATCATTGCACTAAGCCACACGAAGATTATTTCTTTTGACATAAGCATTTTAGAAAGCTGCTTCACTTTAATCGGGAAGCTTCCGTCTAAAACTTCATCCCACAGAAGATGCCTGAGTTTTTTGTTTCTGTCGCCTTCATGGAACAGAACTCACTTCCTCTGTCATTCTTGCTTCCTCAACAGGTGTGTGGACACTAGCGGCTTCTGATGACTGCCAGCCACTGGCCACGCTGCAGGCCAAGGAAAGCATACCAACTGGCAGCATGACTGCAGGGCGCAGGAGGCCAGGGAGCCCCTTAATAAGGCCTGCATCACAGCGCAGGGCCAAGGCCTTTCGGGCAGATGGTGGGAGAGCCGAGCTGGTCAGGGCTGCATTTACAGCACCAAACAGCCCACCTGGGACTTGCCGAAGTGTGCCACAGTGGGCAAAAGAGAAACATTTTTTCAAAGAAATTTTTTTCTAAGGAAAAGCACTCTAATTTTTTATTAGTCAGATAATAACCTGATTTTGCTTTGGGTGCTCTTAAGAGCCACCCATTGCCTTTTCTCCTGGTAGGAACTGCAGCTTGAGTGTCCTGCAGGATCATGCAGAAGGACCATACCCTGGCCACATCTTCTGCAAAAGGCCCCATCTGGGCTTCCCCAAGAGCTTTTGAGCAGAAGCGCATCTCCACCTCAGGCTCCCAGGGGAGCAGGGCTGCACAGCCTGGTGCCCTCGGAGCAACCTGCCACCTTAATGTTTGGAGGCAGAGAGGAGGAAGTGATAAATGCCATGGCGGTAAGGAGGTGTCTTGGCTTTGATCTGCAGCTTGTCTAGAATTTGATGTTGTTTTAGGGTTTTTTTTGGCGGAACTGGGGATTGAACTCAGGCCCTTGCGCTTATCCTACTGAGCCATCTCCCCAGCCCTAGAATTTGGATTTCAGGCATTTCTTTAAGAAATCAGATTAGCAGGCTGGCCTGATAGCTCAGAGGACTAAAGCGTAGGCAGAGCGCAGTGGCCAGGGTTTGATCCCTGGTGTGCTGTGCTGGCCCTGCCCCCAGGGTGTGCTGAGATGGCGACTGAGATTAGAGAGTGCTGGTCCTTGTCTTTATGTGGTAGATTTGGTTTCATCACTGGGGATGCCTCTTTATCCCACTGGTACAGCTGGCACTGCCCATCCACATGGGCCACAGCAGGAATCTGGGGTGCCAAGTCTAAGATTTGGGTGAGATGGAGGAAAGTTTGTAAATGTATTTTCTAAAACCACCTTGCCCCATGTCCTCCACACTTGTGTGTACTCCAAACTCTAGAACTATGCTTGTCTTCCCTTCTTCGTCTACCTGTCGCTCCATCCATCCATCTACACCCCCACCAACCCATCTGTAGTAGTTTGGGGTTTTTGCAAGAGGGACAATACAATGCAAGATACATATTTTATAAAATTATTTTATCGAGAATCACCTCAAGAATCCTATGCAAAGAGTGCAGGAAATCTGTCCACACATTAAAGACCAAGTAATTCATCTGAGGCCTGGAATCTAATATCCTGTGTGAGTCCAGCTGAAAACCTAGAGCTCCAACAACACTTCCCACTAGTCCAACTGGAGGCCTAGAGCCCATGACAATGTCTCCGTCGGGCCCACTTCATGGATCTGCACTGGGAAAGGTCAGTGGTGGAAGCTAGAAAGTCTGTGCCAGTGGAATGGAGGATCTGTGCCAGCAGATCTGCACTGCAGCCAGGGAGGGATGCTCAAGGGAAGTGCCAGAGTGCCCCTGAAAAGTATCACAGCCATCCTCAGCCACAGTGAAGGCCCAAGC